TTAAGAACCAAGACGCTGCCTGTAACGATAAGAACCTGTGCTCATAAATCAGTTTGATTGGCACCGTGCCGTTCTGTGCCGTTCTGTAACGCTGTTAATAATGCAGTCTGCGTTGACCCGTGGCCCGCGAAGCAAATGAGAAAAACAGGTTCGGCACATTATTCCTGATGAGTTTTATGGTTTAGTAAATTAAATCTGATTTTTTTTTGTCTGTGATGAGGTTATATGGAAATGTCAGTGTTGCATCGCCAGTTAAAGTAGGAATGAAGAACAAGACAAACACAGAACACAGGTGTCAAAAGCACTAATATATGCTCTATGGTTACGCCCTGTGTCTGGGTGGGTTTCCTCTGGGCGCTCCGGTTCTTCGCCAAGCATCAACATCACCTTACCTATAGGAAGGACACACCCGCTCCATTCTCTGATTCCAGTGGTAATTAGGCAAGGCATCTAGTACAGTTGGTAGAGCATTGGCCTTTGAGCCTGAAGGTTGTGGGTTCGAGTCCACCACAAGACCTTCTCCACCGACTCCCACTGCTGTCTCATGTCGTTGTGTCCTTGGGCAAGACACGTTACCCCACTTTGCCTATAAGGAGCACGGAAGTAACAGCATTGTCCATTGTGAGATCATTAAGTATATCTTTTTCCACATGTTCAACACATTTAGACTGAAGTGACTAATTTGTGATGGTCTCAGTGATTTTACTTCCTGAGTGGGCGTGGTCAGCCTGACGCTCGGACTGACCACGCCCCCTCTCGCCCAGTGGGCTCTGGAGGAGGGGGGCCAACGTGTGCGACAGGGGGAAGGCTCCCTCGTCTCGGTTGATGCCTCACTTTTTGATTTAAATTGTCTTTTTGATCCAGCGTGTCCGTTTGTTGTTTTCAGACCTGACAACCCAAATGTGGTTAATTATCTTGCAGTGATCAGAAACGGTGGATTTGAGGTTTTCTTGATTTTTGTGTTCCTTCCTGGTCGTAGTGAGATCCTGGTTGTCTCCTTTTCACTGATGATATTTGACACCACTTGCGTCAGATTTTATATATTGTGCTGTACTTTTGACCTGGTGGAATAGGGTGTGGTCAGTCTGAGCGACCTGCAAGCTAACACAACCTGCTAGCTAACACCAGGCCAGAGATGACACGTTAATGAGGCGTGTGACAGTTTTGAAGAAGGCTAGCATCACTGCAACCAAAACATTTTATCACGGCATGTACAGTTAGTCTTTCTACAGAACCACAGAAAAACAATTTAACTCAAGACAAAATGAGCCTTTTGTAGCCATTTAAGAAACACGGAGGAACAGATACATAACATATTGAAAAGATTGAGCATTTCCCGATGTTTTCTTGTGTTTTGTTCATGTTGGAGCTTTATTATTACACAGTGGAAAGCTCAACAAGCCAATGTTTGCATAGCATGAGTCTTTTAATAGTTTATCTAACACTGTGCATCCACACCTGAGCGTTCTGTGATTTCCAATTCCCTCTTGTTCCAACAGAACAACACAACACTGCTCCTTTTGAAGCATTCATGAAATCAATGCACCTCTGTAAATTATTCACGGCAGAGCTACAATATTCACTAGACTCAGCTCTCAACAATACCAAGGCTTTGTAATTGGCTACAAAACATGCAACTAATGTTTTCTGTGTACTTGACACGTCCGATATAGAGCACATGTTTATTCTGGCGCATCCGATTCAGCCATTATCACAACTGAGCTGGAATTATATGGGATGAATATTAATGAGTGGAGAGGAGAGTGGCAGACGCACCAGATGTAAGGAGGTCTACGATACAGCGCTGGTGTAGATGTGGAAGAATGCAAATTCATCTCTCATGGTATTTACTTGGAAGGAGCGAGAATAATAACTGGCTATGTCCGTTTGAGAAGGACGCATGTATGTATGTCGCATAACAGATTTTAACCATGTAAATTACATAAGCATTGAGAAACAGATCTGCATGTCTGAGTCTGTATGTATACTGAGACAGGTCTGTATGTATACTGAGACAGGTCTGTATGTATACTGAGACAGAGGTCTGTATGTATACTGAGACAGGTCTGTATGTATACTGAGACAGGTCTGTATGTATACTGAGACAGGTCTGTATGTATACTGAGACAGAGGTCTGTATACTGAGACAGAGGTCTGTATGTATACTGAGACACAGGTCTGTATGTATACTGAGACAGAGGTCTGTATGTATACTGAGACAGAGGTCTGTATGTATACTGAGACAGAGGTCTGTATGTATACTGAGACAGGTCTGTATGTATACTGAGACAGGTCTGTATGTATACTGAGACAGAGGTCTGTATGTATACTGAGACAGGTCTGTATGTATACTGAGACAGGAGAGGTCTGTATGTATACTGAGACAGAGGTCTGTATGTATACTGAGACACAGGTCTGTATGTATACTGAGACAGGTCTGTATGTATACTGAGACAGGTCTGTATGTATACTGAGACAGAGGTCTGTATGTATACTGAGACAGAGGTCTGTATGTATACTGAGACACAGGTCTGTATGTATACTGAGACAGGTCTGTATGTATACTGAGACACAGGTCTGTATGTATACTGAGACAGGTCTGTATGTATACTGAGACAGAGGTCTGTATGTATACTGAGACAGGTCTGTATGTATACTGAGACAGGTCTGTATGTATACTGAGACAGAGGTATGTATACTGAGACAGAGTATGTATGTATACTGAGACAGAGTATGTATGTATACTGAGACAGGTATGTATGTATACTGCAGTTTACACTCAATAACACGTTTTAAAACATGTGAAATAATCAAATGGGACTTTATATTCAGTGTGTGATTGTTTAATCCAGGCCTAATCACAACATACAGTATTTCATAAAAGTTGTTGATCCTATTCCAAAAATAACCTTTGTGTGAAATGTTTTCCTTTAGCGGGACTTTCGACACATTTTCACCTCTTCCATTTGAGCTTCGGGGCGATACTAACGGCTTATTAACCGAGCAAGGTTAATAAATGTTTTATTATATGACTATTTTTAATTCATGCAAATTTCGATCTCCGACTTGGTTTTCCTAATCGTGTTTTTAGCTTTCCGGTCTGTAACGAAGTCTTGTCTGTTAGTTATTTTATCTTCGTTATTTTCTGTAATTTCTCGCTCTGGCTCGTCAAACTCGTCAAACTCGTCCGATAATAGAATTCACTGAGAATGCTCCCAGTTGTCGCCAATTTTTTCTTTTGTACCGAGGAAACTCAGGAAAGATATCAAATGTGATACGAGCTGTTCGGACCAATTGTCATGGTAACGGTCCGAGATGGGAAAATATCAAACCGGTAATCAGCCAATCAGAGCGCACGTACGGTCCAAGTCATATAATAAAGGGAATTACACAATGTTTTTGTTCTTTTGAGCACATGTCTGAATACAGAAGTGTTCAGACTTAGATTGGGGAGATTCCACATTGAATATTCCACAGAAATATACTTTATAAACTTAATCTTAATCTGTTCATTTTAAATATCCTCAAAGCGTGTACAATGTTACCAGTTTGTCTGCGATAGAGACAGATCCATTTTCGAATGATTCTATTTTTACTGATGTCTTGATGTCTCACGTGCAGCGACATGGAACTGTTAATGTGCACAGCTTTAGTCATTAAACAATCTGCTTCTAATTAGCATAAACACAGATGTGTGTGGGAATAGAACATGTCTGCTACAAACACTGGTTAACAAAACTCACAGGAAAGAAAAAGACAAATAGAAAATACAAAGTGCAGTGTAGACAATCTGCACAGACTTTAAACATCAAGTGTAGGCTGAGGATAATGTGTGTTTTTTATTGATTGTATGAATCAATATTTTGTTCATACATTTTTTGTTCATCAATATTTTGTTCATCATGGAGACACATTTCATTTATACTTATCTGTAAATACAAGACACAATTCCACTTCATAATCTGTACAACAAAAACAGTTAGTGCCATATGAACCAACTGGGACTCAGATCTCCTGCTGGGACTCTGAGGAGCACAGGGACTGGCCTCCTGCTGGGACTCTGAGGAGCACAGGGACTGGCCTCCTGCTGGGACTCTGAGGAGCACAGGGACTGGCCTCCTGCTGTGACTGAGAGGAGCACAGGGACTGGCCTCCTGCTGGGACTCTGAGGAGCACAGGGACTGGCCTCCTGCTGGGACTGAGAGGAGCACAGGGACTGGCCTCCTGCTGGGACTCTTCGTTGTTTCTCTGCAGACAGCTGAAGGATCGTATCTTCACTCTTTTTAATGCACTGTGATTATTGTATAATCCATGTATGATTGTTTATATTTGGTTTTATTCAGCACAGGAGCAGACAGAGATAACAGCTCTGACAGATACACAGGGCCAAACCATTCAAACACTTAAAAACAAGCATCAGATTCTTAAAATCAACCCTGAATGTAACAGGAGCCAGAGACACTTAATAAAACAGGTGAAATCCTAATTTGCGATGTTTTGTTAACAAACGGAGCGCCATTGCCCCCTCGGTAGCCTGGATGCAGCTGGGGAAGGCGGGTTCCGAGCGTGTTGGAGCGCGGCTGCCTCGTCTACCCTTTTTATAATGAAATTGTGAAATGAAACGTGTTATATTCGTTATCTTTTCAGCAACGCCAAATGTAGCAAGACGTGGTTCATGGGCTCACATTCGGCGGACTAACCTAAAATACCCGCAACGCCAGGGTTTTTAAACCCAATATAAAATAAAAAGTAACGCCCTACGGCACACAGGTAAGTTGATATAAGAAGAAGCATGTTCCATGAGTGAGCAGATTTATTAAATCCATTTTTCTCTCGCTCTCTTTAAAGTGTCACAGTAACGTGCTCTGTCACACAAAAGCTAGAGCACATTACATAATGACAATCAATTTGTCCATGTGTCGTACTCGTAGTGAAATAAAACAAGTAAATTGAACAAGGAAAGTAAAGGTGGAAAGGCGAGATGGCAGCCGGGGTCACGTTTAGATCTTGCACCCTGCCTGGAAATCAAATATTAGAAACGGCAGGAACAAGGTTTACATTCCAGGGCAACAACTCGTGCTATACCCTCTGGAACAGCACGGTCAGTAGGCCGTTGTGCACAGGATCCTGGGTCCAGCCCACACCTGGACCCACAGAAAAAGGGCAGGCAGCTGAGCCAGTTGCACCGGAACGCGACCCATAACAGAACACCCCTAGGCCACAGAAAGCAATTCAATTAACGCAAAGACATGAGATTCTTAAAAAGTCTGAACGACGCTACCTGTCCTGTCAGGAGGATGGACGCCGGGAGGCGGAAGTCTGCGTTGGCGTAGAAAGAGTGAGAAGCATTGAGGCATTTTATACCACCATGCGCCTCCTGCTGGTGGCCACGCAGAACCACACCACATACGTTTAGTAAAAGATGTAGATCTTACACATAACACCAGCACCACTTTAGCTGACTTAGAACCACAGACACATGTTCAGTATAAGACCAGACACTTTTGCATTTGATTGAAGACAGACACCAGGCAGAGTTGAGGCTCATCTCCTGGTGTAGCTGGTGTTAGCTGGTTTTAGCATGTTAGCCGGTGTTAGCTGGTGTTAGCATGTTAGCTGGTGTTAGCCAATGTCCGTAAATGTATACCTTTTGGTCAAACCTCCTCCAGACTTTTCGGGTCTGCCTCCACTTCTGCTGCTGTGATCTTTCATGTTCGTGGGAATCATTCTGCTCCGTCCTTAGCGCTAGCTCCACAAACACCTTCTGGTTTCTGGTGGAACCATCGAGCTCACGCTGGTGTCCTCTCCTCAAACTGAGGAAGGTGTTGCCCTCATCCAGCGACCAAGGAACTGTTTTCCGTACGGACGTCATGGGTCGAGGCAACGAGGAGTGTTCTGCCCCCTTGTGGGTATTCCTGTGTTTTGAGTTCTTGTGTTTGTCCATGCAGAGCTACCGTAGTTCAGTTTGCAGCTAACAATCTTAACAGCTAATCCAACTCCACAGTGTTTGTCTCTTAACATTTTCTTTTGGCTCTTAAAAAATATCTGTCTGTAAGTATGTGATTGTAGTATGTTTGTATGTAGTATGTATGATTGTAGTAATTGTAGCATGATTTAATCTGATTATTTGTTAAAATATATTCAGCGCTAATAGCGGAGCATCCCTATGGCATTTCCCATACAAATTAGCATTGTGCTAACCTTCGTCTAGTGATCTTTTTGACTTTCATGGTTTAGCCACTTTATTTTACATTTACATTGTTTGTATGCCACAATAAGACTGTAATATGCCTATTTGGTTTTTCTGTATGTTACAGTTTTACAGCCAATCAGTAAAAACACACCAACTACAGCAAGATGCTTCTGGTCCTTTATTGAAGACTGTTCGCTATCTGTAAAGCTAGTTCCCTTACACTAGTAAAGGCAGAATAATAACATATAGTGTAGCCCAGGGGTAAAACCAAATTCCTAATTTAAATGTAAACCACAAAGGAATGGCTAACATATTTAAGTCTTAAATGAAAATGTGTACTTTGTTTATTTATTTATTTGTATATGTGCCAACACAATGCACTGTAGTGCAGCATATAAGTTGCGTAGCAACAGCCAAAACGTTACGTTCAGATCCACGGTGCACGCGACCCCGCTTCCCCTCTCTGACCGGAGTCAAGCAACGAGACACACGCAGCGAGACACACACAAAGCTCAGCTCCATCATTTCAACAATTCAAAAGCGCAAATCAGAGGAAAAATGACATCAATCCAAGCCAAAAGAAGAGTCCTGTTGCTGGCCTGGAGTTAAAGTTGACTGATCGGTAAGAGTTACTTTGTAGTGACCACCGCAACTTTAACGTCCGCAAATGACCAACGGCCGCTACACTAACGGACCTCCTCACTGTTTTAGAGCAGAGAAAAGAGAGAAAGACAAGCTGAGCGCAGATTCCGACACCGTTCCATAAAGGAAGGAGAGAGGATTGGTAAAGAATTGCTTGATTGATGATGTGTTGGCTGTTTGTCTAAATGTTCTAACCGGTCCATATTGATGACAGAGACAGGGTTTCCAAGTGTGGGGTAAGTAAACTTTATGGGAGGTTTCCTTTGACGTTGAGGCCTCTTCACAGGGCCTGATTCTTCAACATGTTCAATTTCTTTATCTGCTGTTTCTGTTTCAGGTAGATTGACAATTTTAGGTTTGATGTCACCTCCAGGTAACATTTCACTCTCATGTAGGTTGTTACTTTCAGATAGATTGTCAAAATTTTCAGGTTGGTTTTCTCTTTCAGGTTGGTTGTCTCTTTCAGGTTGGTTTTCACTTTCAGGTTGGTTTTCACTCTCAGGTTGGTGTTCTCTTTCAGGTTGTTTTTCTCCTTCAGGTAAGTTTTCACATACTCTCGGGGGTCTTGTTTCAATAGTAATTTCCATTGGACGAAGCCATTGACTATCATCTTCCTCAGCTTCTGACAATACGATTTGTTAATTTTCTATAGTAAACTGTTGTATTCTGGGTTTCTGTTTTGGTTCTGGTTGTTCCTCTTGCGGTTCTGACAGGAAACCACAAGGTAACAGTAGGTCACGATGTAATGTTCGCAAGGGACCATCTCGACCTTCTGGACACACCGTATAGACGGGTAAGTCTCCTGCTCTTTTCTGTACAATGTAAACTGTTGGTTCCCAGCGATCGGCTAACTTGTGCTTGTTGCGGAGGCGGAGGTTCCGTACAAGCACTCTGTCCCCCATTTCAAGTGTGGCCTCTCTCACTTTGGCATCAAATATTTGCTTGTTCTTTGTAGCTACTTTCTTTGCATTTTCCAGGGCAATGTGATAGCTCTCTTTCAACTTATCTTTCAAACCCTTAATATACTGTGAGTGAGAAGGAAGTGAGCCATTTTTGACAGGTAAGCCAAATGCAATATCGATGGGCAACCTTGGCTGACGTCCAAACATGAGCTCATATGGTGAATAACCCGTAACATCATTTTTTGTGCAATTGTATGCGTGAGTAAGGGTTTCACGAAGTCACGCCACCTGGTCTTGTCCTTAGCTTGAAGGGTTCCCAGCATACTCAGCAGTGTACGGTTAAATCGTTCTACTGGGTTCCCTCTAGGATGATATGGACTGGTCCTCACTTTGCGGCAACCGGCCAAAGCGCAAAGCTCTTTTATGATTTGGGACTCAAAATCCCTCCCCTGATCACTGTGAAGACGCTCTGGAAACCCATAGTGACAGAGGAATTGGTCCCACAGGCACTTGGCAACCGTGCTGGCTTTCTGATCTCTTGTAGGTACAGCGGTGGCATACTTGGTAAAGTGATCAGTCATAACTAGGATGTCTTTGGTGTTATGACTATCCGGCTCTAAGGACAGAAAATCCATACAGATTAACTCCATGGGCCTGCTGGTCTGGATATTTACTAAAGGCGCGGCTTTATCTGGTCGACTTTTCCTTCTCACACAGCGCTCACAATGTTTGATCTTTTCTTCTACATCCATGGCCATTCTCGGCCAGTAGAATCTTGATCTGACCAAGTCAATGATACGCTCGATACCTAAATGTCCCATTTCGTCATGGAGACTAGTGAGAGCAAAAGAACGCAGTGGTTTTGGCAAGACAAGCTGGAAGTACGGTCCATTGTTACATTGCCGTCGTCTGTACAACAGCCCCTCTTTGATTTCGAAACGACTCATCTCTCTGAACATCAATCGGCTCTCAGTTGATTCCAGCTCTGCTTTGGTCGGAACAGGTTGTCCTGATTCAATCAACTCCATAACTCTATTGATGAGAGGGTCTGCCCTCTGTAATCTTGCTAACTCTCCTTCACCAAGTTGTAGGAACTGTGAAAAAGCCATTTTGGAATTCCTCTTCCTCAAACTCAATTGGGATTGCCTCAGGATGGATAGCGAGGGACTCGACAAGACAGGGAGCAAGCTCTGCAGTAATTTCATCTGCTATGAAATGGTTTTGGACGGCTGCTTTAATAACGTCAGCAGAGCAGTAGATGCTTTCTGGACTGAGATGATGAGATGTAAAGTCATTGATTCTTTTACTTTCCTCTTGAGAGTGACTATCATTGATGAGCTCTCCATGAGGCCGTCTGGACAGGGCGTCGGCATCTAGATTCTGCTTGCCCGCTCGGTAGGTAATGTCAAATGTAAAAGTGGAAAGTTCAGCCAACCAGCGGTAGCTGGCAGCGTCTAACTTGGCAGTGGTTAGTATGTACCTGAGCGGATTATTATCTGTGACTACTGTAAAGGTGTTGCCGTAAAGGTAGTCGTGGAATTTGTCAGTGATAGCCCATTTTAGAGCTAAAAATTCCAATTTGTGTGCAGGGTACTTAGCTTCACTGCGTGATAATCCTCTGCTTGCATAAGCTATAACACGGGACTGCCCATCCTGGACTTGATATAGTGCTGCACCCAGCCCAGTACCACTGGCGTCTGTGTGAAGGACGTAAGGTAGCTTTGCATTAGCATACCCCAGCACTGGAGCGGATGTGAGCCTCTGAATTATTGCATCAAATACCTGCTGGCAAGTGGGAGTCCATCTCTCTGCAAAAGGTTCTTTAGGATGAAAGTATTCATCTTTCTTGTTATGCTTATGAATTTTTTGTGTCGGCGGGTAGCCAGATGTGAGATTGTTCAGGGGTTTCATAATCTTGGCGTAATCCTGGACGAATCTCCGGTAATAACCAGAGAAGCCAAGAAAAGATTTCAGCTCTTTTAAATTTCATATTTATCTCCACGTATCCAATGTATGAAACTGGCAAACCATTTGCTCCCTCCACTTGAAGTATATCACTGATTGGCTCAATTTTGTGTCTTGACAGATGCTGATTGTAAAAGGACTGTGATACAGTGGTAACTTGTGAGCCTGTATCGATTAAACAGCTGCACTCCATTCCACTAACTGTAACATTTGTGGTGCATTTACGACCGACAAGTCCTTTTGGAATATGTCTCAGTGGTTCTACTCTTTGCTCTCTCAACACACTCGGACTTTACTGGGTGACTTTTGTTTGGGACCCCTCTGTGTATCGGTTCCTAATGGTCCCTCCATAGGAGCCGTTACTCGTTTAAAGAAGCGTCCTTTGAAGCATTTTCATTATCCCAGGCTCTCTGACGTTCCCGCAGCTCTTTTCTTTTGGCATCAACAAGTGCAGGATTTGCAGCGTCGCTACAAGTTGAAGCTATATGTCCATCCTCGCCGCATTTAAAACAATAGCCGGGTTTGGGCCTTGAATTTGCCTGTTGGTTTGAGACTGGTGACTTTGGGTAAGGTTTGGTCTTAAACGGCTTGGTGTTTTTAAATTTGGTTGATTTCTCCTCCTTGAAAGCTGAAAGAGCTGAAATTTGAGCTTGCACGCTTGCTATTTGTTTCTGAATTTGTTCCAATGCTGAGGATGTGCCTTGAGGTTTTTCTTGAAACTCTTGGTCAAAGACATCATTGTCGCTCGCACAGACTGAGTTGGCTTGAACTTTAGTTTTGGGAAAACCCAAATGCTGCTTCATCCGCACAGCTTTTGCAGCTTGCTTATCCTCTTCTGTGCGCAGGAACAATAGAAACTTTGGGAATTTTGGAGGATTGTTTTGCTTTTGTTCCAGCTGTAAGGCTGTGATCAACGCATTATTCCAACATCCTCTACAAAACTGTTTGAGCAACTGGCGGTCTGCGTCACTGTCACTCACAACTTTCTTTTTCACTACTTCATTCAGAGTGGATTGGAGCCTATGAAGATAGGTAGATGGTTTCTCTCCTGTATTTTGATGAGTGTTGAGGAACTTGGCAAACAACTCATCACCATCCTCTACTGTTCCGTAAGCAGAGTCCAATAGGTTGAGGTAGGAGCTAGGGGTTGCTAGGGAACCTAAAGGTTTCACCACTTGTGCTGCTGGAGGCAACAGGCTATCAACCATTCTCCTGATCAACTGTGAATGAGGAATAGAGCGGTCTGATAAGTAGAACTCAATAGTGGATCGCCATGTCTCATAATCTACTTCGTGACTTGGGCAAGGGATACGCCCAAAGAAAGATCTCAGTTTGATATTATGAGAGAACTGTGGGGTCATTTCTGTACTCTTTACTATATGCTCAACTACAACACGCTGTACTTCAGGTGTGGTGATGTGATCTGGAGACAGGTGGAAGTTACCAAAAGAAGTTGCTGAGGCGTTGAATGTAGTGTGACGCCCAGGTGTTGCAGGAGGAGGCTTCATCTGCTCCATATTTGGCTCTGTAGTGACTGTTTCTGAGGGAGTCATAGAATTTTCAGGCTGCAAAAAGGGAGCACACATTATTTGGGCATCTCCTGAATGTTCTGTTTGTGTTTCCTCGACCAGTGTTTTTGTTATTCTTGATAATTCTTCCCTCAAAAGGTCCTCAAAAGACTTTCCACTCAATTTGGCTATGTTCTTTAGCTCAGATAAAAACGCATGAGTGGTGTCTGTTCCAGCTGCAGTGGTGTAAACATTGTCTAATGCTTTCACATTATAGGTGACTCCAGTTTGTGTGTAACGCTCCAAGGATAAGATGGGTTTGAGTGATTCTACTGCTTCACCAGATGTAAACTCATAGATGGTCTGTGTCTTGAGATCAGATTCTGCATCAACAATTGGAATGATACGATTGATTTTACCATATTGTTTAAGGTAATCATATATTTCCTCTTCTTGAGAAGTATCGCACAGACCACTCACAATAACAGAGTTTGGCACCTTAATACTTTCCTTCTTAATGATATCCATTTTACAAGTGGTTATATGAAAACAGTAGACAAAACTATAAATTTTGTTATTTCAATGCAATAACAAGGCTGACTTTCAGTTGTGGCTTTTTCAAATATTAAAGATTTTCGAAAGAGCTCTCCTGGCTGGCTCGCCAAGCTTTTCCCATGTAACCCACTTTGGAATTAACATGAACGACTAGGTTCTTAAAGAGGTCAAATGTAAAGTGTTGGAACTATAGCCACAATGAAAGACAGACAATAGTTAAATGTAAATTGATTTAGTTAATTATGTCAAGAATTATTACCACAAATACAATGTAATGTAAAATAAAAGAAAAAAATAAATAGGCGCCTTAAAAATAACCCAAAAATAAACCCTTAAAGTCTGTGAGTGCACTTAAAGTTTTGTTCAAGGTGGTCAGCTGACACGGTCCTACGCAGCCGATAGCTCATGCGGTCTGCAATGGGATCATCCAGTTTTGGCTCAGGTGGGGTGGCTCGCCATCTAGTGGTCTTCTTCAAAGATGTTTCCAAATCTCATTAAAAAGACCTGACCTGTATTAAAAAGACAGGCTAATAAATGTCTTGCTCCAGTCATGACAATTAATCTAATTCTAATTCAAAGGTACAACATATTTCTCATGTACAGTACATAGCAACAAAAAGAGATTTTCTGTATGCAAACATTTTCTAATTATTCATATACATAAACCATTAATAGGATTATTTCAACCCTGTATACAATAAACAATAGCATTTTAGTCCCAGACAACATTTCTCACCGATTCACGCGCGTATGAGCCGGGACACAGTGACGTCACGGCTCTGGATGTGAGCGCTCGCGCAGATAACTGCCTCTGTCATCAATATGGACCGGTTAGAACATTTAGACAAACAGCCAACACATCATCAATCAAGCAATTCTTTACCAATCCTCTCTCGTTCCTTTGCGGAACGGTGTCGGAATCTGCGCTCAGCTTGTCTTTCTCTCTTTTCTCTGCTCTAAAACAGTGAGGAGGTCCGTTAGTGTAGCGGCCGTTGGTCATTTGCGGACGTTAAAGTTGCGGTGGTCACTACAAAGTAACTCTTACCGATCAGTCAACTTTAACTCCAGGCCAGCAACAGGACTCTTCTTTTGGCTTGGATTGATGTCATTTTTCCTCTAATTTGAGGATTGTTGAAATGATGGAGCTGAGCTTTGCGTGTGTCTCGCTGCGTGTGTCTTGTTGCTTGACTCCAGGCAGAGAGGGGAAGCGGGGTCGCGTGCACCGTGGATCTGAACGTAACGTTTTGGCTGTTGCTACGCAACTTATATGCTGCACTACAGTGCATTGTGTTGGCACATATACAAATAAATAAATAAACAAAGTACACATTTTCATTTAGTACTTAAATATGTTAGCCATTCCTTTGTGGTTTACATTTAAATTAGGAATTTGGTTTTACACCTGGGTTACAATAGTTTTACAAACGCGGTGTGAAGAGAAGAGACGCATGGAGTAATAACGTCTGTGGGAGATTAAAACAACGGTGATCAAAGAAGCAGGAGGTATATACAGCTGTAGCAGGACATGGCTAAAAGCTCATGTTAGCATTAGCATTAGCTACAGCGCCCTATCTGCATCACCAGGTAATAAAAACAGAACATTCACTCATGCTGCTGATAAAGTATTCTGCGATTGTTTAGCCGGGATTTTGTGTGCGTTTTATTTGAGGCTTGTCCCTGAATAAGTTTAGTTGAAACTTGTGACAGTAGTTGGACTGCGCTCGGATCGGGTCAGAACATCCTGAGACTGTGTAGTAGATTCTGCCCCGTTCTCATTATTGTCAGTGTGAAAAAGTAAGTAATTAATCTTTATTTATATACTGCCTTTCACAGACCGGAGTCTGTTTGGATTGTTCTTTTACATAATTGTGGTCCTCCATGGTTCTTTTATATAACTGTGGTCCTTCATGTGAAGGCACGGTGAAAGCAACAATATAAGATAAGATAAGATGTGTTTCATTTATCTCACATAGGAGAAATTTACATGTCACATTTAGCATGGATAGAGGCACTCAGATTGTGCAAAAGGAGGAAATGTGCAAACATGTTACATGCAGGATATATATGTACAATAAAAGTGACAATAATTATGTACAACAAAAGTGACGTGAAGTGTCAATTGGAAACAGTGTCAATAGTAGTGCAGGTTTTCACACAGTGATCATTTAAAGTGACTTATTGTACAGTCTGACAGCGGTGGGGATAAAGGCCCTGCGGTAGCGCTCCTTCCTATACTGAGGGTGTCTCAGTCTTCCACTGAAGGAGCTCCTCAGCTCCTCTACAGTCCTGTGCAGTGGGTGGGAGGTACTGTTCATGATGGAGGTGGCTTTGGCTAGCACCCTCCTGTCCCTCACCTCCTCCAGAGAGTCCAGGGAGCAGCCCAAAGTGGAGCTGGCCCTCCTGACCAGCTTGTTCAGTCTGGTTCTGTCCCGCTCTGTGCTGCCCAGCACACGGCAGCGTAGTAAATGGCAGAAGCTACCACAGAGTCATAAAAAGTCCTGAGCAGAGGCCTGCTCACTCCGAAGGACCTCAGCCTCCTCAGAAGGAAGAGGCGACTTTGGCCCTTCTTGTGCAGGGCGTTTGTATTATGGGACCAGTCCAGTTGATTGTTAATGTGAACACCCAGGTACTTGAAGCTGTCCACCAGCTCAATGTCCTACCCCTGGATGTTCAGCAGCGTGTGGGAAAGTGGTTTTCACTTTGATCATCTCCTTGGTCTTACTGGTGTTCAAGCACAAGTGGTTGCACTCACACCAGTCGACAAAGTCCTTGATAACCGACCGATATTCCAGTTTGTTCCCCTCAGACACACAGCACACGATGGCGGATTCGTCGGAGAACTTCTGCAGGTGACAGCTGTGTGTGTCGTGTGTGAAGTCTGAAGTGTAGATGGTGAAGAGAAACGGTGAGGACAGTGCCCTGAGGGGCCCCAGTGCTGTAGACTACCACCTCAGACTCACAGGTGCGTAGCCGCACGTACTGTGGTCGGTCTGAGCGGTAGTTGATGGTCCAGGCTACTGTCCACTCCCGCGTCCTCCATCTTCCCCTACAGCAGTGCCGGCCTGATGGTATTGAAAGCGCTGGAGAAGTCGAAAAACATGACATCTACTCCGATGTTGGGTCTGTAGGCGAACTGCAGCGGGTCCAGGGTGGGGCTGACCACGGAGCGGAGATGGGTGAGGATGAGCCGCTCCATAGTCTTCATCAGGTGGGAGGTCAGTGCGACTGGTCTAGTGAGCCGGTTCCTTGGCGTGTGCTGTTTTAGGAACTGGGATCACACAGGAGGTCTTCCACAGGACAGGGACCTTCTCCAGGCTGAGGCTCAGGTTGTACATGTAGCTGAGGACCCCAGAGAGCTGGTCTGCACAGGTCCTCAGCAGCCTGGGACTGATCCCATCCGGTCCTGCGGATTTCCTCAGCTTCAGACGCTGGAGCTGACTCCTCACCTGGTCCGGTGTGATGGAGAAGGGGGTGACCGGGGTGTATTGTCCGAGGTGGGGGCTGGGGATGCGGGGGCAGGAGGGCCCGGGGCAGCCGAAGGCAGTGTCCACTGGGCGGTGTCCACTGGGCGGTGTCCACTGGGCGGTGTCCACTGGGCGGTGTCCACTGGGCTGGAGACGTGTGAAGAGGTGGGGGCGGGAAGGGGGGCAGATGGAGACAGGGGAGAATCAAACCGGTTGAAGTACTGGTTAAATTCATCCGCCCGGTGCTGGTCTCCCTCCGCTGTTCCTCTGGCACTCTGTCCAAAGCCGGAGATGCTCTTTAGGCCTCTCCACACGTCGCGGGTATTTCCCTGGGCCAGCTTCTGCTCCAGCTTTTTCCCATAGTCCTTCTTGGCCCTCCTGATCCTCCACTGGAGCTCGTGCTGGATCCTCTTCTGCTCCTCCCTGTCCCCTGAGATGAAAGCCCTTTTCTTGAGGTTCAGGAGGGCTTTAAGCTCAGGGGTCACCCATGGGTGGTTGTTAGAAAAACACCGCACCTTCTTAGTTGGTACAGTGTTATCCACACAGAAGAGAATATAGTCTGTAATGCAGTGTGTCAGGCTCTCAATGTCCTCACCATGAGAGCTGCAGATCATTTCCCAATCAGTGTTTTGAAAACAATCTTTCAGCATCTCATCCACATCATCGCTCCACACTTTTACAATCCTCTTCTGCGCTGGATTTCTTCTCACCACTGGTGTGTATTCCGGAGACAGACGGAGGCTGTGATCAGAGCGTCCGAGAGGGGGGAGGGGGGAGGAGGCGTATGTGTCCCGCACATTAACATACAGTAGGTCCAGAGTCTTATTGCCACGAGTTGGGCACGTGACATACTGTTTGAATTGTCGGGAGAGTGGCGGAGAGGGAGGCATGGTTAAAGTCTCCGCTGATCAGAATCAGAGCGCGGGGACTGCGGGTCTGGATCTGGGTCACAGTTCTGTGGATCCCCTCACATGCTGCGGCCGCGTCTGCTATCAGTAGCTCATGTGAAACGAAACGCGATTCTCTCATTTTTTTGTCCCTTATCCACCACCGTTTCCAAGATGCCGCATTTACACGGATAGTCCTCCTTTCTCATGGACACTTATAAGTTAAATTCTAAGCCTCTGAATACAATTTAAAAAACATGATGGAGGTAAATATTCTTAAAAAGGTCACATTTGTTATTAGTTTTTGCATATGGAGCAGCTGTAAAAATTACACAGGGTGGCTTTAAGTTCCTCTTCTCTTCCTCACTGTTGCATTGTTCGGGCTATTTTGCTGTGTCTGCAGTTACAGCCAGAGCAGGTATAAAGGCACTTTCTGCCTCCATTCTGCTCTAGTTTACCAGCGCTGTAGAAGCTAGAGGACGCTGCCTTGTTCTATGAGTGGAGGCGAGCTGGCGTCACGCTAGGTCTCTACTCAACACTTTTTACGGCCTGAATTCATACACAAGCTGAATCAATGAGCTCAAGTTTTCAATTAAATTACGGATTATAATACAACTTGTATGTTGTAATAAGCATTTTTATGAACTCATTGAAAAAAAAAATTGGGTATAGCTTCTTTAACTATCTGCACCTCAACCCAGAGGAGACAGAATTAATCTTACTCGGCCCTTAGAGCCTGCGCAACTCCCCCACCAACCAGATAATCACACTTGATAATGTTAGAACAAGAACTCTCCTCCAAGGCATATGTATATAAACCAAGCAACTGAAACAGCAGATTTCCACTTGTTCAACATCGCTTAAATCAGAAAAAAAAAAGAAGAGAAATAGAAAAACAAATCCATCAATTCGTCACCTCAAGTCTTAACTACTGTAACGCCTTGCTGGCAGCGTGCCCTTAATCCTCTATAATAAAAAAAAAAGCCTCCAGCACCAAAATACAGCAGCAAGGATCTAGTAAGAAACACATAACTTCAGAGTTAAAATCACTTCACTGGCTTCCTGTGGAGTATAGAATTTAATTCAAAATCCTTCTTCTAACCCACAAAGCCATATATGGCCAGGCTCCCTTCTACCTCCAAGACCCGTTAGTGTCATACCAACCAAAGCGAACACTGCGCTTGCAAAACGGCAGACATCTCCTGTTCCTAAACTGTCAAAAAGTACAGTCGGAGGCAGAGAATTTAGCTACTGTGCCAAGCTCCTTTACCTTGCTTCTGATCCACGATAAGGAAGCATACACAGTCTTTACATTCGAGGCTTAAAACAGTCCTCTTCAATTTAGCACACGATGTCAGTCAAGCTGCATATAGAGTCAGTTTGCTGGGAGAAGTATGATAAGTTGAGCACTATCCTAGTAATAGTAGCAGTAGTAGTAGTGATATTGGTTTCGGTCAATAACATCAACATTATTCCTACACTTTCTTGTTTATGTCAGTCTAGCTGAAATAGTTTAGGCCTAAGTGTATATACTTGTTTTTTCCTAAACCTTTTTACAAATCAAAAACACAACAGGCGATAGTTTGCAAAAATAAAGAACAACCAAATCATCATTCATAATGTTTTAGTTGCACATTGTATAAACTTTT